TTTTCTTTTTTACCGCTTCACTTTGTTAATATGCACCAAATGTAGTAAGTTTTAGTGTACATTTATAAATTTGCCAGCCAAAAAGCGAATACGACTAGCTGCTAATGCTATAAATATGACGCGGTCAGTGCCGGCGCGGCGTGACTGTATTTGTTTCTTGCTCGCGGACCGAGAGAAAAAGCAATAATGGGAGATATAGGGAGATATGTATCCATAAGCGGTCTAAGTTGCTAAGCTAAGGTGCCTTTATGTGCACGCTAGTTAGATCAGCCGCGACCTGCTGCGTCCGCCCGATCGTGCCGAAGCAGCCGGCGGACGGTACGCGAAAAGCGACATGACCGTATTGTTCTTCAAAGACGCGAATTTCGTGGAGAAACACGCAACAGTCAGCAGCCGCAGATACCGTGTGTAGGTGTCTGACGTAAAGTGCTGGGAGCAGAGCTTCGCGTTGGAGCTCGGAGTCGACGGTCTTCCGAAGTCTATCCGGCGAACGGCACCGACCCACACCTTGTGCCTCTTCCGGTCTCTTGGGAACTTGTGGAACCGCAGCTCCGGGTTGCGCACCGGGTTGTTGGTGCAACGCACAGCACTACAAGTCGTGCTCGACATTGCCCAACGCGAGTCCGGCGAGTCCGGCAGCACCACTTCGCTCTCTTCCGCGCTGGCGCGGAAGCAGTGCTGGAGTTAAATGAACTGCCTGGATGCTAATAAAAATAGGAGAACACAGGATAATGTGGTAGACACCTTTTGCCGTCAGCAGAATCGCAGAATGCCACGGGAAACGAAGCGTCCGTGGCGTCCGTACGAGAGCGTAGGACTAGACCTACGTCATTGCCCAGTGTTGCTTCACTAGCTCACCCGGTACCAGCCTTGCTCACCCGCTTTCGAGCCGCTAACCGAGCCGGGAGAACATTTTAGAGCGCAGCTCTTAGGCGCCCGTTTCCGGCTTGAGCGGTGTCGCCGTCGCCGTCGCCGTCGCCGTCGGCGTAACCGCGCGGTGCATTAGGGGTAAATTTTCCCGAAGGAACCCGAGGTCCTCCCGAGGTCCTCGGGTTCCTTCGGGAGGGCCTCGGGAGGACCTCGGGCTCCTTCGGGAGGACCTCGGGTTCCTTCGGGAGGACAGGGGGGGGGGGGGTCACGTGACGATGCGGATGCCGATGACGTCATCAGTGATGATGACGATGACGATGCGGATGCCGATAGCGTCATCAGTGACTTCACTGATGACGTCATCAGTGACGATGACGATGGCGATGCGGAAGCCAGACTTCATCGGCATCCGCATCGTCATCGTCATCATCACTGGTGACGTCATCGTCACGTGACCCCCCCAGGACCTCAGGTCCTTCGGGAGGACCTCGGAAGCACCTCGGGTTTCTTCGGGAGGACCTCGGAAGGACCTCGGGTTCCTTCGGGAAAACCTCGGAAGGACCTCGGGTTCCTTCGGGAGGACCTCGGGAGGACCTCGGGCTCCTGCGGGAGGACCTCGGGTTCCTTCGGGAGGACCTAGGGGGGGGGGGGGGGTCACGTGACGATGACGTCATCAGTGATGATGACGATGACGATGCCGATGACGTCATCAGTGACGTCACTGATGACGTCATCATCACTGATGTCATCGTCACGTGACCCCCCCCCTTTCCGAGGTCAACTGATCCCCCCAGTACCCTTCCCTCCTCCTCCTCCTCACGAGCTGCGCTCAAATTAGGCGTTACAGGGAGTTGTAAACGGCTTTCATTTTTTAATATTGGTTTTAATGGGTAATGCGGCGTCGGTTTGACGTGATATTTTGGGTATGGCCGTATCATTTTGCCCCCCTAAAGCGATATCAGTCATTTCGGTAGGGTCGACTTCTTGAGTGGAGTTGCCCTTTAAGTATCTGTGTAGAGCAGAGTTTATCACTCGCTCCATGGTACTGCAGACAACTGATGTTGTTGAGGTTGGTCTTTAGGATTCTGGCTTGTCTGCTGGGGATCCTTTCCCGTTGTAGATGGGAGTGACATAAGCCTGCTTCCTTGGGGCGGGGACGCACCCAGTGTCCAAGAGCTGCTGGAACAGTCGGGCCAGTATTGGGGCTAGTTGTTGACCAGATGCTTCAAGGAGCGCAGGGTGGATGCCGTCAGGACCGGGCGACTGTGAAGTACTCAGTCGTTTGAGAACCTCCTTGACATCACCCTCGGTGATAAGGATACTGGTTAAGCAGGGCGGGGTGGCCAGCTGCGATGATGATGGGCAAGTTTTTGGTTGTGATGAGAGACTTGGTTCCCATGCTGCAGCGAAGTGCTTGCTAAAAAGTTCCGCAGTCTCCATGTCGCTCAGAGCCTTGCCGTCTTGGCATATGTTTAGAGGAGACGTATTCTGCTTGTTACGCCTTACATAGGCCCAAAATATCTTTGGATCCCTTACAGCTCGTTGTGCCATGTTCAAAGCATAATCTTGGTGAGACTTTCTTATCTGTTTTTGTTTTTTTTTTCTTTCAGGTTTCTCTGGAGGGTTCGGGGCTGCCTCAAGTGTGATGGGCCAGCTGTTTCGCTTTGCTTGTGCGAACAGCTGACGCTTCCGTCGGGCTTGGAGCACTATCTCCTTTGTTATTCAGGGTGCTCGGGGTTTGATTCGGCTTTTTCTGAGGGGACGCATTCATCTTCGATGGCGTGCATAAAGTCGAGCCATATGTCATATAGGTCTTCATGGTTCTCTTGGAACACCATGCCACAAGGGGTAAGGTGTATAAGCGAATTGGGGTGGTTGGTGTCCAATCTTGCAAAGTTATGGAGGTGTCTGGCATGGGAGGCATAGATTTAGGCGAATGATGGTGTGTGGTCGCAGTCAATGCTTTGTGGTCAGAGCCCGTGAAGGTGGGTTCTGTGAAACAGTTTGAGATGAGCATCGGGTTAGAGACGAACATGAGGTTGAGGAAAGAAACTTTGTTATTGCTGGTGACGTAAGTTGGCTCGCTGCATACTTGGGTAAGTCCGAGTGTTTCTATATGGTCGAGAAGGACAGTGGCAGATGCTCCTGTGGGCTTGGGAGAGCTTAAGTCTGACCAATTAATGTGCGCATTGAAGTCTCCGACAACTAGCACGTTGCAGTGCTTCTTCTTTGAGGGGGTAACGGAGGACAGCGACGACTGTAACAAATTGTAGCTTTCTGTTTTCTTGCTGGGGGGACAGGATGCAACACAGAGATGTAGAAGTCTCTGTTTTGAATGAAGGTCCACGAAAAAGGCCTCAAGGTCGTTCCGGTCTAGGACATGTCTTCTAGTGCATGCGATTGAGGAAGGTATGGCGACGAAAACTCCACCACCAGATCTGTTACGATCTTTCCTGTAGACTTTAAACAGTGTCAGGTCGACGAGCTGGCTGTCCTAAATGGAGTTGTCGAGCCAAGTCTCACACAAGGCGAATATGGTGTTGGGGCGGGACTGAGTGAGCACCCGGAACTCCAGCATTTTGTTCTTCACGGACCTGAGGCTGGAGAACCAGAAGGAGGTTGTTTCCCTTGTTTCCGTAGTACCGGGAGCCGTTGATCTGTCCCCGGCTGTGGTAGGTGATGCGATCGTCGTTAGTGCAGGCAGCTTCGGCGCTTCGAACAGGCTGTCGTCGAACGATGGCAGCTGGCACACGCCGCAGTACCATGGTTCTGTGCAGTTCAACAGACGCCGATAGGTGGGCAGTGAGAGCTGCTCGCATATCCAGTGGACCCAGATGTTGCACCCGTCGCTTTGTAACGCCGCCACGCTGTCGCAGAGCGGCCTGCAGCAACGGGGACAAGTAGGATACGGTCCCGGGTTGAGCGGTACATCTCCAGCACAGAGCAGAATCAAGTACATATCAGGTTGAAGGACGGAGGACGGGCGGCAGTACGTCCGGTTCTTCGCCAATGACTGGTTCGGATTCGGGTAGGCTTAGCACAACCGCGAGTGAGTGCCGCCGTTGTGCTCCACTCCAGACGATCGAAATTTGCTTTACGATGGGCATGTTGCGTCGCGAGGTGATTGCGTGCATAGAGCGCCACAGGCGAAGTAAATTAACACAATGTTTAGGTGGGCTTGTTGGTTCATGACTGGAAATTAGCGCCAAAGGAACGGGGGCAAGTGAAGAAGTGGACGAAGACACGGAGCGCGTAAAGTAGCGCGGGTAAACTAGCCTCGAGGGCACAGGTAAAACACCGATTCAAGGGGTACAATGGGATATCGAGTGGTAGTCATTCGAAGGCAGGTGGACTTTTAGGACAGGTCGACGGAAATGGATGAGGGACGATGAGCACAAAGATGTGTGTACTCAATCGCGTCTTCGAAATTCCGTGACTTGTACAGGTTTCCCCTGACAATTTCGGTTCCATTCCCCGATCATTATAAATAAACACACACACACACGCACACACGCACGCACACACACACACACGCACACGCGCGCGCGCGCGCGCGCACACACACACACAAACACACACACACACACACACACACACACACACACACACACACACACACACACACACACACACACACACAAATCGAAATGCAGAGGACGGGCTTTTAGTGGCCGTTCGAGCAGTTCCAATTTAATCCGGCGAATGGGGAGGTGGCCTACGCCGCATAGTGACGCAGCTTAAACCAGGGTGAACTTCGTGTTAAACGGAGCACAGGCCGACACGATGACACAAACAGGCCATCATTTGGCCGTACTAGGGGCGTCGGACAATCGACAAGAAAGTTGACGAGATCGCCGAACGCCATGATCAACCAGCGCCGCGCTACGATTGGCCAGCGCCTATTCAGGCGCAGCGCTGGCCAATCGCGGCGGTCGGTCACCTGGCCGACTTTCTCGCCGAATGTCTGACTCAGACAGAACCCCCGGTGTGGGCGGGCACTGCGCGTGCGCAGAAACCAGATTCGCGTGAAGCGTCTGCGCACGCGCATTACCGACAGCAGCGCCACCACAGCGGCGCCATACGCGGCTCTCTCTACACCAAGGTTGCTCCACACGCACTGTCCGTCCTACCTGGCACTGAGAATGGCGATCCTGTTGCCGGACGCGCACCAGAGGCGCTTGTCCACGAGGCGGATGCAAGTGACGGGACTGCTGCCGATGTGGATGTACAGCGTGTCGGGCCTCTCCCTGCTCACCGCGAAATTCTAAAAGGAGAAGGGAACAGCGGTTAGTGCCTTCCAGTGCGTCTGTATCGCTACTTCATCAGAAACACTCGAGCACTTTCCAAGTGACGCAATTGGCTGCAGTCAGGAGAACTGTTGTCCGTCACAACTTGCAACATTCGGAGCTCTACAAGAAACGGTGCTCCGCCCAACGTCCAATGCACCCGCGGGCGTGGTTAAGAAACGCGGGGCGTGTCTCGTTCATGCTTCTTGCTTCGTGATTCGTTCGTCGATGTTCTAATCGGCTAATGCTGCGCTCTCTTTGGCTGTGGAACGACGATGCGCGGGACATGCCACACGCTGCGGTTTTTAAGCTTTCAGCAACTACGGGCGAATATTTATTTTTCAAAGCGATATAAGAACAGAATGAAAGCCGTTTACCCCCGTAACGCCGAGTTAGAGTGCAACTCTTGTGGAGGAGGAGGGGAAGGGTACCGAGGGGAAGGTGCTGTAAACGACTTAAGTTTCGCGGGCTTAAACTTTCGCGGATCGGGCCAAAGCTGAAAATTTGAAATTATTCGCGGGTTCCAATTTTCGCGAATCGAGTGTAGCTTCCGTAGCGTTCACATATTTCCCGAATTGTTCGCGGGACGTATTGTTCGCGAATTGTAGGCGATTCGCGAAATTCGCGAAAATTAGGTCCTCGCGAAAATTTAGTCGTTTACAGTATATCCTTCCTCCCTCCTCCTCACCTCCTCATTCTGTCTGCTACCCCTACCTCCGAGCGGCGTCGCCGACACCTCACGAGGGTCACGTGACCTTACGGGGGTCACGTGACGATAACGTCACCAGTGACGTCACTGATGACGTCATCATCACCAATGACGTCATCAGTGACGATGCGGATGACGTCATCAGTGGCGTCACTGATGACGTCTTCAGTGACTATGCCAATGACGTCATCAGTGACGTCTCACGTCCCATAATGCACCGCGCGGTTACGCCGACGGCGACGCCGCTCAAGCCGGAAACGGGCGCCTAAGAGCTGCGCATGACCTGGGGGGTCACGTGACCTGGGGGGAGGGGGGCGTTACAGGGAGTAAACGGCTTGGCTTTCATTTCTAATTCTAGGTAATAATAGTTTATATAAACGAAAAAGTACTTTTCGAACATTAAATCTGTGCTCTACTTTGAAACAACATAAAAAAAAATTAGTTCACGCTTTCTGTAACAAGAGAAAGCGTATACGCGTGGTCAGATTACCCGTACACGTAAACGCAAAAGATTGAGAGGCCGGACCGTTACAAACCTCAATGACGGCCATCGTCCCGTCAGCCAAGCCAGCGAACACTTGGCACTGCTCGTCCTCTTCGTACGAGCACAGGCTCAAAACTGAGTCATTGAGCTGTACCTCCCATTTCATCTCCCTGGCATCATTCAAAAAAAAGTAAAGGGAATTCGTTAGTGGTATGAGCTACTGCACTTAAATAAAAAAAAAGAGAGAAGAAAATGGTATGCGCATGTTCATTCGTTGCATGAAGTACTTGAGTATGCTTCTTTTTGTAAGCCGGTACTATAGTGCTATCAAAACAGGCGCAAAAATTAAAATAATGATTAGTGAGGTGCTATGTGCCATGGAAGGCATCAAACAAACGTCTCACAAAACTTGGCACGCGCGCAAAAAATAGACATAAGCCGCCAACTTATGGTGCTTGTTCTCTGCTCTGCTCACCTCCTTAATAAACGCCTGCTTTTCTCACGAATAACGTTTCCTGACCTTCATTATAGACGGATCTAGAAGAGAGGAGGGTGTAGGATCTGCCACGCTTCTCGCGAAGTTCATTCAGTTCAATTAAGGGTTATTAAAGTCGTTTTTCGGTGCCTAATAATGTTACGTCGGGCCAGTAACCGAATGTTTAGTACAATTGGTTGCAGAAATAATGGCAGGAGCTACTCTCTACGCAGTGCTGCATGTTCATGAAGGTAACTTAAACGACAATAATCATAATAATTTTTTTTTCGATTGCACGATTTGACGTTTACACCGCAATGTTTCTCAGGCAACCTTTTTTGCGCAAGTGAAGTGAAAATTCTTCGAATGACGTAGATAGCTTTCCTGCAAAATCATAACCTACAAAAAAAGTATCTGCTGCTATTAACTGAAAAAAAAGAATATATATATATATATAGTAAACTTTTGTATTTTAATACTCACCTCGTTCTGGTGCTGTAAGAATAAACGAAATGAGAGAGAGTGCCCAGGAGCATAGTGTCATCGCCCAGAGAGTGCATGCAGATGACCCGAGCCTCAATCTGGAACCAAGAGGAAAAAGACTCTTCGCTTAGTGTTAGAATTAAGAAAGAAAGATGAGCAGACTTTATTTCAAAATGGAGACCAGTCCAATGAATGCGTTGCTTTGAGATCTCCCCGTTTCGTTCGATTGCATTCACAACGTTCATTAAAACATGCTCTGGATCATACTTTTTTTTTTCAGTCATTTCTCAAGAAGTATATACGAAACAACCGGATTGTCTCCCCTCCATCATTATTCAAGATCTCCCCTTGTACGACTATATTTTATTTTACCGTATGGTTTATTCGGGCAAAACCATTAGGCCACCACACGTCAAGAATGCATATAAAACTATCGCACAATAATAAAAATAGTATGTTTCTAACAACAAATGGCACACGAATACGTCATTTGGATGTACTTCAATGGCCCATTCTTGTCGACACTCTCTCAAAATTTCCTGCGAGTATAGTGCACTGCGATGCCCTTGGAACACCAATAATTGGTCTTCCTTTAGGTAACCAGGCAATGAGAAGGCATGTCCGTATCTTGCTCCAATGAATACACAGCTTTTTCTCCCCCGCGGCACGTGACTATTGAGCAAGATCAGTGACTGGTCTTCCAACTACACCGTGGCATGTCCGTGTACTCAGGGACGTTTGAGAGTAGCGCAACGTTGAAGTTTCCCGGAGCTTGCGTACTGACAGGCATAATATCCTCGCGACATAACATCTGCGTCATAAACTTAGGTCTCTAAATACTAGCTGTCGTACGGAGAGGAGTAAGAAAAAAGAAAGTCAGTCATTGGAATACCTTGAAGTGGTCGGGTGGGCGGAAGAAGATAAAGGGAGAACAAAACTTACGTTGATGTTCAACCTGTACATGACGTTGTCCTCGCAGTTCACTCGTGACAGTCGAGTCAAGTTGGCACTAGCGTGGCACACCCAAACTGTCGCTGAGATGGAAGAACGGGTCGCATTTTTGAGATGGTGCGATTATTGTAATGCTGGTAACGCATACAAACAAATGTCAACGGTGCACATGGTAAGCAGAAAACAAAAATGCACTACACAAACACGTAGAAAAATGAACGTCAAAAACATGGGCAAAGCCGCGACGACTCTGAACAGCCGCTGGCACCACCCCGACTGCGCTCATCTTAAAGGGATACTTCAACAAAATTTGAAATATAGCCGCTGTGTCCAGAAATAGGCTAAATATGATCCACAATGTCCGTAAATGACAATCACATGTTTGTATGCTGAGCCTGACGGCTGTATTTTTCGTTGTAAACTGCCCACTCTGGCAAGCGCTCGGAGAGCAGCCAGCGGAGAGCACGTGACATCAGCCGCAATCATGACGTAGTTTGTCGCGGGGCGAGGAAAGCTGCGGCGAGGCTGACGTCGAGAGGTTGTCCTAGTCGTTCCAGCCACCGAAGCTGCCGAAGCACGCCAGCGACCGGGCCACCGTAACTAACCCCAAAGCTGCTTTTGTACGAATTTTGAGTGACGGGTTAATCTTCTATAACCTTGTTTAAAGGACAATAGCGACTTCTGGGGCATACAAAAGAGCGTCTGGGAGAGCGGAGAGTTCCTCCTTCCCCTCTTTTCTGGTGGTGACCGGAGGCGAAACAGTCATCGTCACTAGCCGTCAAGCTTCCTAGACGGGTATTACAAACGAGGCGTTAGCGACATCCACCAGGTGCTCATTGCTGATCGTTTAATTCTTTTTAAAATTCCTTTTCATGCCTTTTTCAACAAGAGAATGGTGTGTCTGATGTGATACTGGCTCCCTTGAACATGAATAGACCCAGAAATAAGCGCCAAAATTTCGTTGTAGTATCCGATTAATTCAAGCGGGTCGGTGGCATTCAAAAGAAAGTTCGACTTGTGTTTCTTTGCATTAAAATTAACAATGACGGGTAACTAGGATGTCACTGTCGTATTTTGCGAAGAATTAATCTGACGCTGCGGAAGCGCATAATCATCGATATTCCGACTGTGGCCGGATATAACGGAGGACGTTGCACAAACATCGATTGTACATATGCCGTTGACAAGCTCATCGTGAATGACTAATAAGTTTGCAAAGATTCGCAGCTTACTTGCATCGCAGGCAGCTGCACACTCAATGATCAGAGTGTTTTCTCCCAGAGAATCTCCGGATTCGGCCTGAAACAAAAGCAAGTTTTGATTCGAAGGCGCTCAGCCAGAATTATGATCAGTTAAAAAAGAGAAAAAAGAACTGCCAGCTTACCCCTCTGTCACCGTTAAGGATGCTCATCTTTTCCATTTCTCGCTTCTTGGACTGCTCCCTGAGCGTCTTCTGGTAACACGCCTGCTTAGCGGCGATGTCCTGCCGCCTCGGAAACAGCTCCAAGTCTTCGAAGGCCACCTATAGATACGGGTAGCAAAATGATCATGCAATCAGAAAAGTTCCTTCGGGTATACATACGTGCCCTGCCACACAACAGTACACTGCAAACGCCAATGATTGGTCTTACTATGAGTCAATGAGAAAACGAGTCGACCCTCGCCTTTCTAAATGCAGATCTACGAGAGCGTCCCGTCAAAATAACACCTGTCCTTCCTACCGCATCAATATTTCAATTCTCATTTTCGTTTCCTCCTATAAATATCTTAGTGTTCATCTAGCCAATAACCTCTCATGGAATACCGGTCATGTCGAATATGTCACTAAAAGCGCCAATCAACTCTAATCAACTACTACGCCATCTCAAAAGAAACTTTTCGCTAACTCCTGTGCCCCTATAGCTTCTTTGATACAAATCTTTAGTTCACTCGAAAGTGGAATATGCGGCCTCTATTTGGAACACCGGTGTCACACTTGCATCAGCTGTTGAGTTCATTCAAACTCCTTCAGCTCGTTTCATTCTTTCAAACTATCATCGCACAGCCAGCGTCACCTCTATGAAAGCATATGTGTCCTTACCTAACCTCGCTTTTCGTAGAAAATGATCGCGTCTTTTTCACAAGATATAAACTCTAATCCCACCCTTCTTCAAACGTTATTTATACAACCACCTTACATATTATCACGAAAAAACCACCATTTAAAGGTAGACATCCCCCATTGTTACACCTCCTCATTTAATTCCTCTTTTCTTCCCCAAACTTCACTAGATTAGAATCGCCTTCCTGCGTCCATGGTCTCAACAACTGATGCTGCTGATTTTAAAATTACGATCACTAATTTTCTTGTTGTTTCTTAGCAAGTGTTCCTATTTTTGCTTTGTTTGTTGTTACAGTATTTTCTGTGTTAAAACTCACTCCTCTTTGTAATGCCTTCGGGCCCCGTAAGAAAATAAATAAATTGAAATAAAATTAAATATAGCACGATATAGCAAATGTAGACGGACGAAAAAGGTTAATGTGCATCACTGTCACTGCTGTTTTCCGGCAGTGTAGTAGAACGTTAGGAGAAGCATACCGCACAGAAGAAGCAGATGCGCAAATGTCCTATATATGAAAATGAAGATAGGTTTTAAAAGGTTCTCCGGGTCCAACATGTCCCTTGTATCTGCGGTCTTCAACATCTGATGTCTGTAGTCTTCTACATACGTGAAACATGTTTCTTGAAAACACTTTGTCGTTAAAATAGAAAATGTATTCTTACGTTGCCTTCTTTCGTTGGGAAAGAAAATGTACACCTTTCCAAGAAACCCTCGACACCAGGGGCCACAAACCGTTTCCGAGCCCAGTAACTGGGTGTGAGGCTAGACTCTCATTGACGCTAACACTGCTAGCAGCTAAATTCTCGTCTTTTTTCGATATATTTTCTGTTTCATGGTGTATGTATTTTCCCGAGGACATTAAGAAAGCATTGTACCACATTTAAAAGAAGAACAAACTGTAAATTATCTTTGTTGGGTACGCGCACGACATAAGAAATGCAACTGGAATGTTGTCTTTTTTTTTTTTTTTTTCCTTTACGATAAGTTTTGATGGCGCCGCCCGATGAGTCACGTGTCAAACAACAAAGCGCTTAGCTGTCGAAAATAATTTACAACAGAAGATAGCTGAAAGGCACGCATTTTTCACGCTAACAACTTGTTTACCGATGGACAGGACACGGACATACAACTTAGCAAGTGTTAACATTCGAACAATACATTGTACGTACTACACGATGCAGCGTTATCGAAAAAGAATTTATTTGAGAAAGATCTCAAATAAAAGAGTCACAGTCAACGACAATCATATCTTGACGATCGGTCGGAATCCAAGATGACTTCGTTTCGGGACACGTTCTGGGGAGAGCTTCCTTTTTTCACACCCTCACCAAGGCAAAGGAACGGGCGCGACTGTCTCCAACCCGAACAACTATTTTTGTCTATGACTGAAAAGTAGTCTACACGGATTATCTCCGGGAAGGAAGGAGAACAGTTGTCATTGTTTGTAAAATCGTGTCGAGGGCCGTTCGACGTCCTTCCCTTCCTTCGTTTCCCGTGAATGTCGAGCAGAAACACTTGAATGGCAGGCACTTACCAGCCCTATTTCTCACAGTGGAAGGTATCACAGTAAGGGTACGCAGCATGCATCAGAAAAATTAACTGGAAACTTCCAAGAGGCGCCAGCAAACGTCGAATGCAAAACCGTAAAACATAGCTAAAGAATCGCGCTGAGCGGGTTTTCACAGTCCAAGAGAGTGGGAGAAAATTTCCAGCTAATTGAGGGCGCGAGAGTCGCACCAGCCGCATCGGCATCAGAAACATGGCGGCGGCCTAGGAGAGTTTTTAGAGCGCAGCTCTTAGGCGCCCGTTTGCGGCTTGAGCGGCGTCGGCGTCGCCGTCGGCGTAACCGCGCGGTGCATTATGGGTAAATTTCCCCGCTAAATCTAGCGGAAAAACTTCCCCGCCAAATCTAGCGGAAAAATTGCCCCGCTAAATCTAGCGGGAAAACTTCGCCGCTAAATCTAGCGGAAAAATTTCCCCCTAAATCTAGCAAAATATTTACCCCGCTAAATCTAGCGGAAAAACCCCGCTAGATCTCGCGGAAAAATTTACCCGCTAAATCTAGCGAAAAAATTTCTCCGATAGCGGAAAAACTTCTCCCTAAATCTAGCGAAAAATTTACCCCTCTAAATTTAGCGGAAAAATTTCCCCGCTAAATCTAGCGGAAAAACCCCGCTAGATCTAGCGGAAAACTTTACCCGCTAAATCTAGCGGAAAAATTTACCCGCTAAATCTAGCAAAAAATTTCTCCGCTAGCGGATAAATTTCCCCGCTAGATCTAGCGGAAAGATTTCCCCGCTAAATCTAGCGGAAAAATTTCCCCGCTAAATCTAGCGGAAAAATTTCCCCGCTCAATCTAGCAGAAAAATTTCCCCGCTAAATTGAGCGGAAAAATTTCCCCGCTAAATCTAGTGAAAAAATGTCCCCGCTAAATCTAGCGGAAAAATTTACCCGCTAAATCTAGCGGAAATTTTCCCGCTAAATTTAACTTAAAAATTCCCCGCTAGATCTAGCGGAAATATTTCCCCGCTAAATCTGGCGGAAAAATTTCCCCGCTAAATCTAGCGGAAAAATTTTCCCGCTATATCTAGCAGAAAAATTTCCCCGCTAAATCTAGCGGGAAAACTTCCCCGCTAAATCTAGCGGAGAAATTTCCCCGCTAAATCTAGCGGGGAAATTTTGGTCACAAGACCCTTCCGCCGAGGTCACGTGACACCCCCAGGTCACGTGACCCCTCCCGAGGTCACGTGACCTTGGGGGGGCACGTGACTCCCCCTCCACGTGGACCCCCCTCCCCCCGGGTGACGTGACCCCAACAAGGTCACGTGCCCTCGGGGGGGGGGGGGTCACGTGACCCTTTCCCCTATGTCACGTGACTTCCCCCGAAAAACCGCGGCCCTCAGTACCCTTTCGTCCTCCTCCTCAAGAGCTGCGCTCCGATTCGGCGTTACAGGGAGTGGTAAACGGCTTTCACTTTTTGGAAAGGTGTATACAAGGGAGCTCGAGTGTTATGGGCGCAGGGCACCACTTTATCCTGAAAACAAAAACGGTGATTAGCGTAACATTTACGCCAAGAGGAACGTTCTAATTCTGGAACGAAACCGAAAGGGAAAGGAGGAGGAGGAAGAGGAGTGGAGGCGAGAGAATGAGGTGGAGGGGAGGGGGAGAGGACGAGGAGGAAAAAAGGGGAGTAGGAGGATGGGAGGGTACGGAGGAGGAAGGGCACACATTCTCCTCCGTACCCTCTCTTCCTCCTCCTCAAAAGCTGCACTCTAATTTCGCATTAGAAAAATTTGTAAACGTCTTTTAGTTTTTTCTTTGAAAATACAATGAAACCAACAGTGCAGTCAAGGGTACTGCATGGGCGTCCAACATGAGCTAAACGTCATCACCATCGCCCCTTTTTGCTTCTTTTTACTTCTCCGGGCAACCGTAACAGGTGACGTCAGCAACGTTTCCTCTCGGATCTCAGCGGTGTCCACGTGATTGGTGTTCACTCGTTATACCAAAATCTTCAGAATTGAGCGGATTTGCCCTTGAGCAATGCCACTCTACCTTTGTTAGGGTACACATCAAGGCGACACGGAGTACAGAAAGGTGAAGTGCTCACCAAACTTAAACGGAACATGGAAATTGCGTGTTTTCTCATGACAGCAAGATCTTGGATGAACCCGAACAAAGGCTCCCTGACCCCGAGATGATCTGTTGAGTGCTATGTCGGAAAACCGTAGCACGGATGCCGGCACGGTAGCACTCCCATGAGAAAAGACAGTTCGCGTGTTCCGTAGAAGTTTGGTGAGCACTGTACACAGCCACCAAGATATTGTTTTGGGGAGTGGGGGCGGGGGGCGCCCATGACAAAATGTTGTGTGATGGGGAGGGGGGAGAGGAGGCCCCAGCAAAATGGAAGATTTCGGGGGGGTGGGGGGGAGCCCTATGACCCCCCCCCCCCCCCCCCCCCTGGCTACGTGCCTGACTGTACATCTGTGCTTTGGCACGCAGACTCTGCATGAGGCTTATGGTAACGACGTGACTCGTTGCTGCTCAAGTGGGTGACTGGACACGCTTTCTCCTCTTGACACGTCTGTGCCCTTCGAAGAGGTCGCTCCGCGTGGCGTCTCTTCTAGCTTACCTTGATGAGGGTGTCCACGTCGTAGCAGAGCCTCGCGATTGCCTTGAGCTGGCGCATGATGGACACGGTGTCCGTCTTGGTGAGCAGCACTTCCTCGTGCATCTTCAGGATTGCCAGCGAGAACCGGAACAGCACCTTGGGGCCCTCCAGGAGAAAACAATCCCAGATGCGAAGCAGCGTCTGCGAGAATACAGAGGTCGAGCGTTTAAGTTCGCAGGTAAGCGAGTAAAGCATTGACGAATTACTGGAAGGAATTATTGATACACTTAAAAAGTTAAACTATTGCTATTTGCCACTTTCTCGCTATTTAAGCGCGCTTCTCAACCGGGGAATGTCAATATCGCGCCGAGGACACAACTCTGTGGCGTGTGAGGCTGGAATGCTAATTATTCTGTTTTCCAATAACATAGGTGATGCTTCTATTTCTGAACTCGATCACTCCGAATATCTTCGGGAGGTTACAGTAAACATAAAAACGCTCCAAACATTAAATTACGACCAAAGCTACATTATCTAAGAACTAGAGTATATTTTTTTAAAAATCTGGACATTTTGAAGAAACCGTATACGAGAAAATTCAAACATGCAGGTTTTCACTCATTCTTAGCGAATGACAAATAGACTACCGACTTTCCAGCAGCGACCTAAGATTGGCGTGTTTAAAATTTCTTCCATACTTTTGACAATCTTAAAAGCTGTATAAAACCAGCTTTCAACGATGGGAAACAGAGTCGACCGCTAGTAATCTTAAATACCCTATTTTGATCGTATTAATATATTAAAATCTTTGGACCTTCTTGAAACAATAAGCGAGAGTGCGACTTATCTCCTCGGCCATGGCTTTCCTTGTTCAGATTTCGCATTATCGTTAGAAAGCAATAACCTCAAGAACATGAGCATTAACATCGTAAGAATTAAGCTCAGGTCAGAAATGGCGCAGGATCACGGGGCATTTAGTGTGCGTGACTGACTTTGGTTAGCAATAGCAAACGCGCAGAGACGACGAGCGCCATGACGATGCATTTCTGGCACCGCTTGATTCGTTTCATCGAATCGGCTGCACTCGGGCTTGGTTTGAAACGGTGTATGGTCTTCCTAATGCGCTCCGTTAGTAGGATATCAGCTGTTCACGAACACGTAAAGGAAACAAACAAATGAACGAAGACGGGCGCTCGCAGAAACACCGTCCACTCGCGCACTTCCGCTAACAAACTTACACCGGCACGCGCGCTCCAGCGGATCACTGCGTGCGACACTCCGCGGATCAACGCCCGGCTCTTCCGGCAAAAGAACAAACTGTCGACCGCGACCAGGAGCAAACAAGGCGACTCTCGGCGAGACAGAATTAATGAGACGTACTCCAGCAACCCACCGAGCGAAACCAAAGGAACGCGCGCTGCGCGAGTCACATTCCGCAACTTCTTTGCCTGCCAGGCGCGCGCCCGCCCGACGCAGCAACATAGTCGCCCCCAGCCACGGGGCTCTAACCTCTGCGGCTAGAGTCAGGCGCACACACAACACACACACACACACTCAATGACAACATAGAAACAAGGAGTGCCTAGCTCCAGAAGCTAGCGAACTCCGGGAATAATGAAGTCTTGCCCGTTCCATCAAGTTAATGGCACAGGGAAATGTCACGTCGCACGGGAAAGCTCCTCCTCGTTTTCGTGCGGGACCATCGGGGAGCCATCGCTCGCTCGCTAGGTTGCAGTTGGAAAGCTGGGGAACGGGGAAGAGACACCGCGCCACACCGCTGTGTCTTTGAGCAGGCTAAAGGCAACAAGAAGTGACGTTTCTTCGGCGCTTTGCGAGTCTTTGTTTATTTCTCTATTTATTTTCCGTCCCAACCTTTTTCCTCCCCTTTTTCTCCGAACGTTTGGCAAATTCGAGTCGGGAAGAGACCCGTGACAGCTGCCTTCCCATTTCTACCTTTTTTTCTTCCTTATTTCGTTTTTATTGGCGTGCCTTTTTCCCTCGCTCTAGCTCTTGTGGGAGTTCTCGGGAAGTGTGGCCGGCGGGGGTTGAAGCAAAGGGCTGCGTCAAAGGTGCCTCAGGGAGTGCGCAATAAACCGGGCGAAGAAGCGAGAAGTGTGCGCTTCTTCGCGCACAGACAAAAGCTGCGAAAACGGAGTTGCGAAGGGGAGAAAAGAGAGACACTCCTATACTGCTGTGCGACGTTCGAGATGCGCTTTGATGTCGAGAGAGGTCCTTCAAAGAGAAGCGAGCAAGGGGGGACATCTTAAAGGTTCTTCTTGCTCGTAACACTTTCCTTTCCTCGGGGATAAAAGGGACCCCAGATTGAGTCACTTAAGCCTCGGCTAACCCCGCCTAAGAGGTAGGTAACTTCGTTAGTTGCGTGTCGACGGAACAGAAGAACGATATATCTCAAATTTAAAACGATGCGTCATAGCTGCTTGAACAGTCATGAGTCTACTTAGAAGCAAGAGTGGCCATACTGTTACGTTTTTGTTTTTGTTTTATTTCTCTCGAACCCTAAAGACGGGGTCACACTGCTTCTACACCAAGCAAAAGGCAGTCTGCATACAGATTCGAACGCGAGTCACTGCGAGATCCGTGCTTCGAATGCCGCATGGGAATGAGTTCAAGGAGAAAACTTGGCAGGCGGCATTCCAACCACGGATACTGCGGTGACTTGTGTTTGCAGACTGTCTTTTGCATGATATGTATGAGCGGTATGGATACCAGCTTTAAAGGGGCGATGCAACGAATTTGGTACTTTGCGCAAATACCGCTTAGAACGAATCCCTTAGGTTAATGACCAATGACACACGCGCTCGTTTTTCACCACACGCAATCGAAATAGCAGAAAAAAAAAAAAAAGAAACAGTAGCAACGTTCTCTTTCTCCACTCGCCGCCAGAACAAGCGGCCACTGAGTGATCTGGGGCCGATTATATGCCGCCAATGTCTATTATACTCACGCGCTGGGGTTCGCAAAGCACAGCCCTTACAAAAGTTATGGATGAGTTTCGATTGAGTTTCTTTTGTATTTTATGAGAATACATCAGAAACTCAATTGAAACTCATTGATCACTTTTGTCAGAAAGGACACGCGCTGAACTCCAGACGTGGTTATCGTTCGGCTACTGTCGTCACTGCAGCGATTGGGCGCGGGCCACCACTACCCCAATACTTGTAACTGAGCTATCGATTATGACGAGCCCAAATCGAGCGCGAACGCAATACTCGGCTTCAATCTATAAGCTGCATTCAAATACCGCCACGGGGGGATATTCGACTTCCACGCTACGTCATCAGATCTTGCAAAGAAGAGATTAAAAAAAAAATAACGCTCACTTTTCTCTTTGAAATTGCGCCGCAACGAGGGAGTTCCTTGATCAGTGACGTGGCGTGCGAGTATGCTTGGGTCCCACTAGTGGCAGTACGCTCGTGTAAAGTGAAAAAAAAAATGAAAAATACATTTCAGACGAATATTGATGCAGCACCCTTTCAATGTCGCAGCCGCCCTGCTCATACCATCTATGGCTCGTACATCCATGGACGTACCAACCGGGGGGGCAAGCGCTTGCCCCCCCTCCCCTAGTTCTCAGAGTGGGGGGGGGGGGGGGGAGAAGACATGTGTTTTGTCCCCCCCCCCCCTGAAATGGCCGCCACTGGGCAGGGCAAACAATCTCCGGCGGCGCCCAGGGGATACCGAGGACACCGCCCCCCGGCCTTGCAGGGGGGGGGGGGGGTGTTCTGGTTTGCCCCCCCCCCCCCCCCCCCCTCAGAAACAACTTGGTACGCCACTGCGTACATCATACAAAAGACACGGTGTTCATTGCAGACACAATGAGAGAATTATCGGCAGAAATGCCTCGAGCATGGTCCAAGCATGTTTCATGCGTATACTTGGAGCATGTTTGTAGACGGTTGGTGTGTGACGTATTACCACGGTGACTGCGGCCTTAAAGGGGTGGTACAACGATATTCAATTGGAATGTTTTTCACTTTATATACACGAGTTTACTGGCACAGGTGGGGCCCAAGTATACTGGTACGCAACGCCACAGACCAAAGAAACCTCTTTGTTGCGGTGTGGTTTCGAGGGTAAGAGCGAGCATTTTCCTTCGGCCTCTGACGAGGTAAAAAAAAAAAAAAAAAAAATTGGTTGTGGGGGTATGTTTATACAGCCTCGAAGTTAGTCTGCCTTCAACGAGCGACTTGCCTTCCAGCTTAGACGAACGATTTGGCCAGTGCGGTACCACCGCTAGCCTGGGGGCTCTTTGACGTGCACCATACAATATTGCGGAACACAATTGCACGCCTGTATACGATGCTCGTGCAGATCGAAACGGGCAAGGGGGGAGGGGGGGTCATTGAACCCAGGATCCCTGGGTTCTGCAGCGCAAGCTCTCGCTCCACGTGTACCGTGTGCGGTGTACCGTGTGCGCTAACCCATTCGGCAGCCGATCCCACTCTTTGATGACGTAGCGTGGGGGTCGCAGTGTCCCTTAGTGACGATATTTGCATGCGGCACTACGTGAGCACTCGATTTGGGTTGGTTATAATCAATGGCCCCACAAGCATTCGGATAGTGGCTAGTGACCAATCGTGGCAATGACAACAATAGCCGAACCATAACAATCCCTCTAACTCAGCGCGTGTCCTGTGCTTTGCCACCCTCAGCGCGTGGCTATGATCAACATTTGCGGCATATATAATCGGCTCCCGATCACGTGGCCGCTTGTTCTGGCTGCGAGTTGAGGGGACAAAGGCTGCTCGTTTTGATACTAAAACATTAACTGTCTCATGGTGCGAACCGGCGTTATCTGTGTGTGGCTGACGTTATCGTTGTCCGTAGCAGCGATAAGCAGCACCTAAACTCCCATTCGCTAAACGAAACGGCGCCTAAATTTTGTCTGAAGCAGCGAAAAACGGCACCTAAATTCCCCTGAGCGAAACGGGACCTAAATTACCATTGCCTGCGACGTGTCATGTGATCCCATAGCAACGGCGTCATCGTTGATAAGTATCCAGCCGAAATGCTGGCGGCGCAGCGGTAAAGGGGGGGCGGGGCATCACTCACTCACTCAACGTAACGCTTTGAGCAACGCTACTAGATTACCTCAGTTTAGGGTGACCATATTCCTCAAGGTAGAAAACGGGACATCCCAACCGGGGAGGGGGGGGGGGGGGGGGGGGGGGGTTTCATTGTTTTAGAGATTGAGATTAGAAGAAACAATTT